AGTAAATACCAGTGAAATCTATACTTGAAATGGGTGAACTTTATGATATATAAATTCTCATTAAAGCTGCTTAAATAAAACACAAAACATAAAATCCATAACAAAAAATCGTTTCCTCAAATCACTCATTTTATATGCATATATGAAAGGCATGACTCATTTGATAAACCAGAAACATATTTTTAATCAGTTATACATTTCACCTATTAATTTCACCTAGAGTTTAAAGTTTCTTAAGATATGGATTTTGTTTCCAAAAGTATAGGAAGTACATATATATATATTTGTGTGTGTGTATGTGTGTGTGTACCGGGGATGGAACTCAGGACCTTGCACTTGTGAGGCAGGTGCCAGAACCACTGAGCTAAATCCCCGGCCCAAGCATATATATTTGACAAAGCCAAAATAAGTAAAGAAAAGCATAAATACCTTAACATCATTCATAATAATAATTAACTCATGATGGAATTAGAAATAGGATCCTAATAATGTCCATGTTCTTTTGAATTTACAATATTAGTCCAAGCTACCAAAAGATAAAGATCATACATCCTATCCAAAAAAATATTTTATAACTTTGCTGGAGTAGGATTACACAGTCTTATAACATGCTTTTTAGAGCTTAATGTACTCAAGTTTGAAATGTCATAAATACTATGACACAAATAATTCCATTTGATAATAATATAGACTCATAGTATCTGGTGTGCTTATGTAATATTAGTTATTATTAGTATTTAAATTATATATTTCCATTCTTACACCTTTAATCTACCCTTATCTTTATATTTACAGTGTGTCTTTTTAAGATACGTATGGTGGTGCTCACTGTAATTCCAGCAGTCTGGGAGCCTAAGGTAGGAGGATTCACAGTTCAAGTCCCACCTGAGTAAGTGGGACCTTGCCTCAAAATTTTAAAAAAAGAAGGGTGGAGGTGGGATATAGCTTAGTGTAAAGGCCCTAGTTTCAATGCCTAGTAGAGCAAAATCTAACTAACTAAATAAAAATAAAAATAAAATGTGTCTTTTAAATCCAAAATGAAAAAGTTGTATTAAAAGGGCAGGAATATATTTTCTTTTATTTTTATTTTAATTTTTTATTAGTAAATATTTGCAGTACACAATGATTACATTCCTCATGGGAAGTTGGTACATGCGCATAACACATCTTAATTCCTTTTTTCATTCCCTTCCCCTCCCTCCATCTCTTGGTCCTCTTCCCCCCTGCCAAAGGTCTATCTCTCTGTTTCCCATGATCTATCTTCTTTTCTTTATGTAAATTTTGGGTGAAATCATGGAATATTTAAGCTTGTATGTCTGTTATTTCACTCAACATTATGGTCTCAGGTATCTTCCTAAAGAAGTTAAAGACATCATGCATACCTATATTTATAGTAGCACAGTTCCTAATATCTAAATCTTGGAATGATTTAGTTACTTATATAACCATAAATAGACAAAAGGAGTATATTTTTCAAAAATGTCATTAACATAAAAGGAAAAGAAGAAATGGAAATTTCAAGTTTATAGCAAACAAATGTAGTATCTGATCCCAGACTGGTGTCTCTACTGGAGGTACAAAAAGAACTATGTAGAAAGAACATTATTAGGTCATTAAAACAAAAGCAGAATATATACACTAGATTAGATAAATGGCTGCCAAGTTTTCAGATGAAAACATTTGTGTGTGTATAGATAGATAAAGAGATAGAGATAGATACACAGAGAGAAAAAACTGACTTTAAAAAGTGGTAAAATGTTAACAATAGGTAAATCTGAATAAAGAAGTACATGGTGGGGGTTCCATTCTTATTATTACTACTTTCTTAAAATTTGAAACCATTTCAGAATTTAAATGTGGGCCAGGGATGTAGCTCAGCAGTGCCATGCCTGCCTGGTAAGCACAAGGTCCTGAGTACGATTCCCAAAACTGGGGGAAAATAAAAAAACAAAGAATTAAAAAGTAGTAAGATAATGTAAACACTCTTGGGTTGGGTCTTTTTGTTTCTGTTTTTAATCCAATATGATCTCTGCCTTTTAATTGCAGTTTAATAATTTATATTTAATATAATTATTTATATAATTGGTATAAGTAACATTTTCCTATTCATGTTCTATTCTTCCCACTTTTGCTTTGTTTTGTATCTTTTCTTTCTTTGTAGTTCTTTTTTTAGTTTTCTGGTTTCTGCTTTAATGCCTTGGATTAATCAAATATTTATTCAACATTCAACTGTATCCTCCTCACTGACTTTTTACCTGTAGTTCATTTTACTGTCTTCGTGCTCTGGGGATTAAATTGAACATCCTTAACTTATTATGCCTTACCCTAAAAATTATAGCTCTTAATGTATGTTGCATGAAACTTGAAACAATAGTTTTATTTACACTACTTCTATCCTTGGTGCAGTCATTGTCATACATTTTAATGCAAAATATAAAACCAACATATATTATTTTTGTCTTAAACATAAATTAAGAAGTTCTAAATTAAAAATTTTTAAATTAAGAAATGAGAAAAAGATTTTACTTTTGGCCACACATTTACTATTTCTGGCTCTCTTTACTTTTTCTTATAGTTACCTGAGTTATCATCTGGTACATTTTCCTTCGGTTTAAAAACCTCTCTACAATATTTCTTAACATGCAGATATAGTGATGACAAATTCTTTCAGCTTTAGTTCACTGAAAAATGGCTTTATTTTATCTTTATTTTGAAGGATATTTTCAGTTCATACAAAATTCTAGACTGACAACTTTTGGATTTTCCAGCACTTTCAAGATTACATTCATTGATTTCTAGCTTGCATTCCTTCCAATGAGAAGTCAGTTATAAATTTTTTCTCTGTTTACCTGTAGGTATTATGTCCTCCTTTCCTTTAGCTATTTTTTAAGATATGAGGGAGAGGTCAACAACCTGCTAATATGTCTAGATGCTGATTTTCTTTTTGTTACTCTTGTTTGGGATTTGTTAAGCATCTTGGATCTGTAAGTTCAGATTTTTCAACAAATTTGAAATTTTTGACTATTCTTTCTTCTGATCTTCTCCACTCTAATCTCTCTGTCCCTTCTCCTTCCATACTTGCAATCCCACAATTGTTAGATTGTACGATATTGTCCCAGAGGATACTATACCTTTGTTCATTTTTCTTTTTGGTCTGTTTTCTCTGTGTGCTTTGGTTTGGATGGACTGATCTATCTTCAAGTTCTCTGATCCTTTCTTCTATGGTACACAATTTGCTCCTAAGCCCATTTGGTGAATTTTTCATTTGAGGCTCTAATTTTTGCCAGCTTTTATAATCCTGCTTATGAGTCATGTTTTCTTGCTTTTTCATATGAAAGAATACTTCATTATTAATAATCTGGATCATATTGTCTTACTTTAATGAGTTTTGTTTTGTTAGGGAGTTAACTTATAGGAGGCTCAGGCTGCTCTTCTCACACCGGCTGGTTTGAACCCCAACATTTCCAAGTACTCTGTGACTCCTTTTGGAATCTCCTTTCGGCTCACAGTCTCACAGCAGCTGTTTTCTGCTATGCTTTGTAGTATGCACAGCTTTGTATCTGATCAAAGAGCTCAAAGACATTGTTTTTAAAGTTTTCTGGGGATCTTTTTCCACATAATTCTCACATCTCAGTGTTCTAGTCCACAAATCCCAGCTTCCTCTACATCCCTAATCTCTGTTTCCTCTGCTAGGAGAGTCTCCTGCCTTCTTTTTAGACTTCACTTCCCCCTGCCATAGTTTGGAGAGTGCTCCCAGGAAGAAGGAGGGATGAATGTGGTGCTCACCTCATGAGTTATCTTCTCTCTTTTTCTGTGCTACCTGAGTCCATCCGATTTTACAGTTACTTACAGAAATAGATAATTTCATCATGTCTAGAACCAGAAATTCCTAATTCTAGGTATTTTTGAAATAGCTCTAAAATCTATTATCCTTAAAATAAACAGTTGACATGAAAGACACATGTCACTTCTATATGACAAATTAACAAACCAAGATACAGAATGTTAAATAACCAGCCACTCCATAAAAATATTTAATTCGATGCACAAATATTCATCAAGTCCCTGCTACAAGTAGTAATTTACAAAGTTGGTAAAGAAAAAAAGAACTCAAAAAATGTAGTTTCAACCCACATTATTTCTACTAAACCATCAATAAAAAAATTTACTGTCCCAAAAAACTGTCTTATGAATATCCAAGAATCAATCATTCAATGTACCAGAAGCATACCTCTATCCTCAATTTGTAATTTACATTCATGATTTCTTTTTATTGCAAAGATTTCTATTTGCATACAAGCAATTGCATTCCTACACAGTTACACTTTTCAATTCCCAACAGATACTTATTTTTTTTCATATTAGGGGATACTACCTAACCAAGTCACTTCTATTTACCTGTGTCAAAATTGCTTCAGCTAACTCTTAATTGTATTTCTAATTTTAATCTGCCCAAATAAAATGTATTTTGCTGACACATAGAAAGAAAATATAATACAATTTCCAAATGCCATCTCAGTAAACTGCAATACAATTCTTCTTATCTTCAAACAAATCAATCAAAATGATACATAATAGCTTACTGATTTAGTCTCATCTCTCAGAATAAGCTCATTTAACCTAATATATGCAAAAGGTAAAGGGAAACAGTCAATAAAATTAAGCTTTATAAAATAGATTTAACATTTCATACTTATTACCTTCATATATGATTAAACCCAGAAAAATAAAGTACATTAGAATAGAAAGTTTCTGTACATCCTTGATTACTACATATTGAGAATATGTTCCTATTTTTGAAGCATAGCCAAAAACAAGTTTGTTAAAAGGCCTTGAAGATGGAATGTTAATGGTATCAGAAGTTATCACCTTTAAATGGAAACACTACTTCCTTGGCCTGTTTATGATTCTTAAGGTAGTATTTTAGGTGGCTCATTTTTTTTTGCTCTTCCAAATTACTGTCCTGAATCAAGACACTATCCTTTATATAAAGTCCTCACCTGCAGCACATCCTGGATCTTCACCCACACATCTGCCATATCATACAGTTTGATCTCTTCCTGCTGAGTCACTGGAATCCCAACAGCTTCCTGCAGGTATCCCAGCACCACAAAGTGTGCAGTGGCCACAGCATTAAACTTGTCAAACAGCAGCTCCAGCAGCTCTAAAAGTAACCTAGTGGCAAAACAAACAAATAACATACACATGCGCACAGATGTTTTACACTGGCCTGAAAGAAAAACAAACATCAATCTAAGGTGAAGCACAGTAGTATACTTTGACATAAACAGAACAAATAGCAAATTTCAACAGATTTGATTCAAACAATTATAGAATCTAAGCAACTTTTAAAAATTTATCCAAGCCTCATTTTACTCTGCTATAAAATGGAAATGATTTAAGAATTTAAATTGTAAACCTAAACCAACAGTAGTAGCTCAGTAAACATTTGTTTCTTTTTTAACATAGTTCAATAACTACAGTACTACTGCTCTATGTTCACATAGGCCACCTCTCTGAGGAATTCAGCCATTTTTTTCAGACATCAGTTCAGATGTTACACAGAATATGCTATCCCCTAGAAATAAGCTGGGCTGGTAAGAATACTAAACCTTTTAATCCTGGAAAGCTGTGCTTACTGCCATTCAAATGTATGGCCTAGGACCAGGGATTTAGCTCAGTGGTTCCAGCGCCTGCCTTGCAAGTGCGAGGTCCCAAGTTTGATCCCCGGTACCAAAAAAAAAAAAAAAAAATCAAATGTATGGCCTAAGGTGCCTGAAAAAAAGTATACAAGTGCCAAGCAATCTGACTTTCACTACAGGGAACAGCTTAGGCATCCACATCATCTCATTTATTATAGTGAGATACGCTGGACACATATTACTACATCGATTTTATATGCTCAAGGACACAAAATGAGGTTGCAAGGCAGCTGGGCCTAGAACAAAAGTTGATTTCCATGTCAGTGCATTTAGCCACCTACCTCTTACACCATTCTAGGATGTAGATGTATGCTTAGAGATAGCACAGTGCTTTCTGTCATGGACTCAAAGTAATTCCTCCACCACTGTTTATAGCTTCACTGAACACCCTTGGCAAAATCATTTCTTCCTCTGAACTTGCACAGTATTTTATCCTGCTTTCAAGGAACTTACCACATGTGCTTCACATATGTAGCTCAGTAAATGTGGGTCACATTCATTTATATACAGATATTTTACCTCTCTTCTCTACTATTAGTCTTCAAGGAGACCCACTGCCTTGTGCTCAGGAGCACTTAGAACAATGGTTACCAAATATTTGCTGAATGAACTTAATGTGTATATCACGAATGAGTACAGAAACTCTTGGAATTTAGGCTTTATTGTACAATATATTGTATGGTTTTCAGTTCATAGCTCTTGAATGGACTATTAAACCAACTTGGAAAGTAGGAAGAAAAACCAAAAGAGCTTGAAAGAAGACCTTGACAGAAATGTCGACTGCCATAAATAAGAGGTTGTAACTATAATCTCATCAAAATGTACAGCATATTATCTACTCCTATGGCTTCTTTACTGCCCAATTATTATAATGAATGTGCCAATGTGACAGCCCATAACTATCTTATGATAAAATCCTAATATCATTTTGACATTGTAATTTAGATGAGACAGAATCACTAGAATTTACGGAGTACTCCCAAGTCTAGGATATACGTAATCTACACGTGACATATTGTATTTGTAAACAGGAGCCATTCTACCTTTACAGCAATAATTAAAAAAAAATTTTTAGATATCAGTTCATATTTATAATTACATATGCTGAAACTTATAATTACATGTGCTGAAAAATCTTCCTTCTCATCTGTGTTATTGGAGAACTATTCAAAATATCAACAGAGAGGTACAAAATATGGAAAGATGTGTCAAAACATAACAGTGAAATAGTTAATTCAGTGTTGGGAAATAATCAGTATAAAACTGGTCTGTGTTATCACATACAGTAAATATTGGGTTAAGCAAACACTCTACTTTTCAAATAGAGATTTTATACTAAATATGTAAGACTGTGGCTCCCAAATAGAAATCTATAGACCATATGTATTTTTCAGTGGTGGATAGCAAAATAAGAAAAATAAAAACACTACACTGACTTTTCACAAAGGTAAATTTATTTAATCTTATATTTTTTATACCCTCTTGGTAGGAAAATCTCAGTTATTCTGTCATGGTGATAGTTATGTCATCAAATGTCCTCACTTGATAAAATTAAAATTCAATGACCATATGTTATACTCAATATTTTTTGAAAGGATATTGATCTACAACATTCAGGAGCCTGAAGCACACTAGGGGCCAAAGTCCGTGAACTTCTAGGTATAAGACTATGTACTAGTAAGAAAGCTGAAAACACTAGTAGAGAAGCAACTCTTATAAATGCATGGGTGCTGCTGTCTGCTTATCTCCAGGACCAATGAGCTCCATGGCTACACACCTTATCTATCTGTCAGTTAAGGACAAGAGCAGCTCTGCAGTCAGGAGCAGTGTTCCATTTAGAAAAGAGACTCAGCAGGGAAATGAGGTATAAGATGAGATTCATAGTATCCATTAGCATCATGAAAATAGCTAACCTTGATGAAATGCTGAGATAATGCCAGCTTTGGCCACTCCTGAAGGCTCAAGGCTAAAACAAGCCTGTTCCTCTTTAGTGGCCATCATAGCCACAGGGAAAAGAGAAGGGAGGTAGAGAAATAGCTAAGAAGAGACAGGTCAAGTGTGGAAAGACTCCACTGGTAACTCTACTTACTTTGAGCCTTCCACTCATTTCAGAGAGAAGGAATCTCTCCTCTGTCTTACCACAGCCCAAACATGCAGTGTTAAGACCAGCAGCTAAGGTCTCAAAACTAAAAGTTTTTGTGCTCCAAATGATACCACAAAAAAAGTGAAAAAGAATCCACAAAATGGGAGAAAAGATATGCAAATCTTTTGTAAACTTGTAAAAGACCTGTACCTAGATATCTACAGAACTCTTATTACTAACTTGTAATAAAGAGAAAATAAATATTAAAAAGGACAAAGAAACCAGGCATTGTAAAAAAAAAAATAAAAAATAAATAAAAAAAATAAAAAGAAAAGAAAAAAGAAAAAAGAAACCAGGCATCATGATGCACACCTATAATCCCAGTCAGAAGCAGAATGGTGACAAATTCAAGCCACCCCCCCCAACCAAAAGAACCAATAAGCGTCAAAAAGATGCTCAACATCATTGCCCATTGGTGAAATGCAAATCAAAATAAAAATGAGAGAGCACTTCAATTGACCACAATGGTTTTAAAATCAAAAAGATAAACAAAAAGTGTCGGTAAGGACACAGAGAAACTGAAACTCTTATACAGCGCGAGTAGGAATATAAAATGGTACAGCCACTGTGGAAAATATCTTGGCAGATTCTCAAAACACTTACATATAGTTATCATATAGACTCAGTGATTTTACTTCTAGATATATAGTCAAGAGTAATTAAAATATGCATACACACAAAAATGTGTGTACAACATTCATAGCAACATTACTGATAATGCCAAAAGATCAAAATAATCCAAATCTTGAAAATATTATGCTAAGTGAAAAAAGTCACAGAAGACTAGCTATTGTGATTCCTTTTATATATATAACATATAAGGATAGGAAAAGTTACAAAGACAAATAACAGTACTGGTTACTTAAGTGTGGGTGGGAATTGACTGATAAAGTATAAAGGATTTGTTTTGAGGGCAAAAAAAAAAGTGTTTCAATACTAAATAGTGGTGTTCATTGAAAAACCTGTGAATATACTTTAAAGGCCCTGAATTAGATATTTTCAACTGGTGAAATGTATGGTACGTGAAATATATCTCAAAATAGCTGTTTAAAAGAAAAAATAAGGCCGGGGATTTAATTCACTGGCGCCACACCTGCCTCGCAAGCGCAAGGTCCTGAGTTCGATCCCCGGTACCAAAAAAATAAATAAATAAAAGGGGAAAAAAGCTGTAGCTCTGAGGATATTGAAGGTCTAACATCTCTTCTGTGGTTTAGATACAGATATGTTAAGTATAAGGCATTACATCTTTAAGTACTTCTATGCAAGGCAGGAGCTCAGGAGAAAGACTGATACTGGAAATTTGAAAAGTACAAATATTTGAGAGGATGAGATCATTCAGAGAAAATATGCAGAGTAAAAATAGCAGGCAAGGGGCAGAGTCCACACTTGAGGAAACAGCAGCACTAAAAAGACTGTTAGGAGTGGTTAGAAAGGAAGAAAGAAGCCAGAAGAAATTTTGGAAGACAAAGGAAAGAATATCAGCAGTCAAATTCTATACAGAGGTAGATAAAGGAAAGTAAAAATTTACAACTCACAGGTCCCAGGGACCTGGGCAAGAAGGGTTTCAGCAGATCAATGGAAGGTGAATTCAGTAGTGGGATGAGCAGTGATAAGGATAGGAAAAAGAAAACAAAGTCAATCATAGGGTTTTCAAAAGTATACCACTCCTCACCAGCATGTACACTTCTTAAAAAAGAAAAAGCAAGAAAATGCTCCCTTCATCCATCAAATAAAAGAGATTAGAAATTACATATATAAGCAGGCCATAAATCTACACACTGGCCTGATTTAAACCTACTGGAAATAAACTGAAATATGTCATTAATATTCATATACACTCTCCAACTGCCCACACAGCACAAGATTGTGAAAACAAGCATTTGCCTTTAGCTGCAGACACACTTAGGATGAACTAAGCACACAAAGCACCACTAAAATAATTCTCCACCCACTGCCTCCACAAAATATTAAATAAAAGAAATAAAACATTATATTGCAGTTAGCTCAGCTGCTTAAATCAAGCTCAGATCGAGGTTTTCACTACTGATCTAAAAGACAATAGATCAGCCAAGATCATTAAATTACCTGATGATTCCTTATCCTGAATTGAATTATAAAAGGCCTCTTACAGGAACAGGCTAAGAACCTTAGAGGTTTGAATTCCCATTAACTGCAATTTCTATCCTTCAGAAAAAAACATAATAAACACACACCCCTCTTACAAATTATTTCTTAAGTCATAAAATAGTACACAATAACATGAAGTACAGCATCATGAAAGACAGTATTTATTCTAGAAGGACAATGTGGTATAAATGCCAGGGTAAATA